TCCTCCTCTCCAAACATCATGTACGCCAACTCATCTCAACAGCAAGAACGACACGGACAGTACAACAACAACAACTCTGGTCGCAATTACAACAACAGAAACCATGGACGAGGTGGTCGCCACAACCGGGGCAGAGGACGCAACAATAACCAGTGGATGAATCAACATGCATCATACCCACCATGGAACTACAGTCCACAACCATGGATGTATCCATCAAACTACGGCCCTCCACAGATGTATCAACACCCGCAATACAACATGGCGCCTCAGTCATACCACCATCACCCAACTCCATCCCATCTGGGGTCCGCATCATCTTCTACTGGAGTCCTAGGACCTTTCCCTCAACGTCCACAAAATGAAGCACACTACGTCCAGCCAGCGTCCCCAACACCATCGGTCGGGAGCTCATCCTTTCTCCCTTCTAAACTCCCTCATGCGTTCAGCACACTGAGCCTCCAAGACCCGATGGATAACAACTGGTACATGGACTCAGGGGCGACTAATCACATTGCAGCTCAGCCAGGTACGCTACGTTCTCTTTTTAATAAGAACTCTTATTCTTCTGTCAAGGTTGGTAATGGATCCTCTGCCCTTGTTACCCACACCGGCCATAAAACCATACCCTCGACATCCCGCCCCCTCCACCTACATGACGTCCTTGTCTGTCCTGACATAATTAAGAACCTAATTTCGGTTCGACGGTTTGTAACTGATAACTTATGTTCTATTGAGTTTGACCCGTTTGGTTTCTGTGTTAAGGATCTTCAAACCAAGACCAAACTGCTCCGATGTAACAGCTCCGGACCACTCTATTCCATCACGTCTCGTGCATCTTCCCCGCAAGCACTCACCATCTCTGCATCACCCTGCAATCTATGGCACCGACGTCTAGGTCACCCGGGCATATCTACTCTTACATCTCTTGCATCTTCTGGTTTTATATCTCTAAATAAGACCGACATGACAACTCTGTGTCACGCGTGTCAGTTAGGAAAACATGTTCGAATGCCATTTTTTAATTCTAAAACTACTGTTGCAAACCCCTTTGATCTAGTGCATTCTGATTTATGGATCAGTCCAATTTCTAGCATTGGTGGTGTTACCTACTATTTAATATTTCTTGATGATTACAGTCACTACGTTTGGGTGTACCCGCTAAAAAGAAAGAGTGAAGTGTTCAGCCGTTATCTACACTTCTCAGCTTACACTCAAACTCATTTTCATCGTGTTATTGGATCACTGCAGTGCGATAATGGACGAGAATTCGATAACAGACAATTCTGAGACCATTTCGCCGCCACGGGCACTCGTTTTCGCTTCTCATGTCCTTACACCTCGCAGCAAAATGGCAAAGCTGAGCGAATGTTGCGAACTCTCAACAATTTTGTGCGCACACTCTTGATTCAATCACACATGCCTCTTGGGTACTGGGTCGAAGCCTTACACACTGCAGCTTACCTTCTCAACATCCTACCCTCTGCTACGATCGGTGGTGCAACTCCATACACACGACTGTTCAAGCATCCGCCTCTGTACACTCACCTCCGCGTCTTCGGATCACTATGCTACCCGAATCTCTTACCTACAACACCGCACAAGCTTTCTCCAAGATCAACAAAGTGCGTGTTTTTGGGATATCCTACTGATCATCGAGGCTACAGGTGCCTTGACATTCACACAAATAAGATTATTCTCTCGAGACATGTCACTTTTGACGAGAATACCTTTCCCTTCTCTCAACAACAAGTGCGTCAACAATCTGAAACCCCATCACCTCTACTGCCTCCGTTACCTCCTCCATTGATGAAACCGACTGTTCACACAAACCCTCAGCCAACACCACCTTCTCCACCATCAGAACCACCACCCGAACCACAACCTGAACCAAACCCCAGTCAACCTTCAGTGCCTTCCCAACCTCAACGAACCCACAGCATGACAACCCGGAGCCGTCTAGGTATAGTTAAACCAAGAACCAGACTATGCCTCCACACAACCTCCATTTCTCCCCTACCCATTTCCCATATACAAGCGGCAAAGGATCCAAATTGGAATCCAGCCATGGGAGAGGAACATGGGGCTCTTATTAAAACTAGAACGTGGTCTCTTGTGCCACGGCCTAAGTCTGCTAATGTGATTCGTTGTATGTGGTTGTACAGGCACAAATTTAATGCAACAGGTACGGCGGTAAGGCACAAAGCTCGCTTGGTGGCAAACGGGAAATCGCAAAAGCAAGGGGTCGACTGCGACGAAACATTTAGCCAAGTCGTCAAGCCAGCAACGATCCGGGCCGTACTTGGCATCGCCACAACGAAGAATTGGCCACTACACAAACTTGATGTCAAAAATGCATTTCTTAATGGTGATCTCAAGGAAACCGTCTACATGCATCAACCGCCAGGTTTTCAAGACAAAACAAAACCTGATCATGTATGCCTTCTACACCGATCTCTCTACGGCCTCAAACAGTCTCCACGGGCCTGGTACAATCGATTTGCAACGTGTGCGCGACGGATTGGCTTCATTCAAAGCTCTTCTGATTCCTCACTCTTCATATTTGGTAAAGGAACAGAAATCGCGTACTTGCTCCTCTACGTCGATGACATTGCCCTCACAGCCTCTACGCAGTCACTCCTATCATCTATCATCACCGCACTGCACAAAGAGTTCGAGATGACAGACTTAGGCCCTCTTCATCACTTCCTTGGGATCTCTGTTACCCGGAACGCGCAAGGCTTATTCCTACACCAGCAAAACTATGCAGCAGATATCCTACAGAGAGCCAACATGACAAACTGCAACCCTTGCCAAACACCGGTTGATACAAAGTCGAAACTGGCTGAGAACGACGGTCCTCCTGTTGCTGACCCAACTCTCTACAGATCACTCGCAGGTGCGCTTCAGTACTTAACTTTTACTCGTCCCGGCATCTCCTATGCAGTACAGCAGATCTGTCTCTTCATGCATGACCCACGAGAGACTCACTTCCAAGAAATCAAGCGCATCTTACGCTACATTAAAGGATCCATAAGCCATGGCCTCCAACTTTACAAGAACTCACCATTGGAACTTGTAGCATACTCTGACGCCGACTGGGCAGGATGCCCTACAACACGTCGCTCCACCTCCGGCTTCTGTGTCTTCCTCGGAACCAACCTCGTCTCCTGGTCATCCAAAAGACAACCCACCGTCTCCAGATCAAGCGCCGAAGCAGAATATAGAGGGGTAGAAAACGCTGTCGCAGAGCTTACGTGGCTACGCAACTTATTCCTCGAGATGCGCTTGCCATTTACCAAAGCCTCGGTTGTTTTCTGTGACAATATAAGTGCAGTATATCTGTCCACCAACCCCGTCCAGCACCAACACACTAAACACGTCGAGATCGATATACATTTCGTCAGAGAAAAGGTGGCAACAGGTCAAGTCAAAGTCTTCCACGTCCCCTCCTCTCGACAGTATGCAGACATCTTCACCAAAGGTCTTCCAACCTCCCTGTTCGAAGAATTCCGGTCCAGTCTGAGCATCCGCAAGCCTCCAGCTCGGACTGCGGGGGGATGTTAGACTAGATATTCGGTAGAATATTGTATATGTCCATATTTGGTAAATACCATAACTCATACGAAACCCTAGTGATCGTATCCTATAAGTATTGTCTTAATGAATCACCTTCGACTTACGGAGCTTTATCAAATAACATGTGAGACTGAACACAGAAGGAGAGAGCAATCACTAGAGACTGTGAAACCTCTGCCATAAACGACAAAATCTCAACTCGTCACCGCAATTACAGACGCCAAACCACAAAGAACCAACCGTCACACAACTGCTGGAACCATGTGCACGAACATGCAATAGATATCACCATCGCTCCTGTGCAAAAGCAAAAACCCCACCTTTGCGAGACACCAAGCTCAGGCAATGGAGAAAGCTTTACACACCACCCATATCAAGGTAAAGAACCTAGTAAAACCACAACACAATGAAACCAGGGAGAGAGGGCTCAAAAATGTCACGCGTCTACACTGCAAAGGGACCGAACAGATCGACAAATTAAAACGAGGATCCGGAACCCTATACCCAAAACAGAGGTCTGACTATGTATTTTGTTCTCATGATTTTTTTTCTTTATCATCAACATAAACATACTTGATTAAGATTATGATAATTAAACACGGGATTCAGTATCCATATGTATAAATAAGAGAGTGATTAACTCCAACCACAGCATGCAAAACTATATGTCTTGTATTTTGAATCTAGGGTACGTGTGTGAGTGCAAATGTTATGAGTTTTTTCTTTATTTTCTGTTGAAGTTGCAAAAATAGATAACCATCTTTTCCATCTTAAAATAACCTGTTGCAAAACTCAGATGAAAATTGTCAAAAATTCCAACTACACTCCATAGCCCAAATGCTTCAAATTCTGTGTGTTTATGTATGTTGGCGGTGACTATATTTTAAAACTCATGATCTTTCTTTTACATGGTATGCGTCTTGTTCAATGAGTTTCAATACCCAAATATAGTAACTAACCGGAAAGTCCTAAATTGAAGTTCTCCTCAATAATATCGAGTTCGATTGTACAATTTCCACCTCTCTCTTCTGAACCTCTTTAAATCGATTTAGCTCTGGCGACCTACCGGTTGTGCGCCTAGTCGTCAAAAGCGCTCTCCTCCCCTCTCCCTCTTTGTTATTTGCTCCGTTTTGCTCCGGTGATGTATGACTGAAGCCTACATCTCTTTCCAACTATTCATAACCCTAAAAGGATCGTTAACAATGGTTTCTTATTCTTGCACAGTACACTTGAAACCTTACTATATTTTTCTTGTTTAAAATAATCAATCACACAGCCTTGCCAATGCCTACCTCTCTAAACCAAACCAATTTCGGCCCACATACTAAAATGGGCTTCTCATGTGTCTTTTGTCCAGCCCATACTGCTGTATAAAAAACGAAACCCACCCGAATAAACTGACACCCAAACCGAACCTAATTACAATGTCCAAACCAAACCGAAAACCGACAGAAAAACCCTAATTTCAACCTAAAACCTCGTCTTCATCAAGACTTTATCCGCCTCCTCGGTTCCAAAGAATTTGCCCTAACCTCTCAAATTGAGACTAAAGCACCCCCTTAGCTCTCTTCTACCCTCGTAAAGCGTTGACCTTTAGACTTAGTTATGGGGAAAGAGAGCAAAGCCATGACCTTGAAACCGGAGCAGAAGGTTATTACTCTCCGTTCGGTGGCTCAGTACTTGGAGCGATGTGGGTTTTCTAAATGCTTCAAGAAACTTCTCTCCGAAGCTGAAATCGAGGTTTGCTCATTCAGTTGAATAGCTCTTTAGTGTTGTTATACTTGGAATGGGTTGATATTAGCTATAGGATTGTTACATGAATGTGTGGTCTTTTGTTATTGTTGTTTCAGAAGAAGGAATTGGACAGTAGCTTACCGGATCTAGATGAAGTTTACTGCCAGTTTTTTAACAAGAGGTAAGGCTTGTGCTCGCTTGTTTGGTAATTTAACTTGTTGATTTAATCTGACGTTTTCACTTTTCTTGTTGTTTGTGATGTATAGTTGTATTGAAGCTGTGGAGGTAAAAGAATCTGGTGATGATGATAATGAGGATGGGAAGAAGAAGAAGAAGAAAGCAGCAAGTGTAGATGAGAAGAAAGAAGTTGCTGAGGTGAGTGCAATGGAAGGCGTAGAGAAGGTTAAGAAGGAGAAGAAGAAGAAAAAGAAGGAGCCAAAGGCGGAGGAGAAGGTCAAAGAGGCTGATGCTGAGATTGAAGACGGAGTGAAAGAGAAAAAGAAGAAGAAGAAAAACAAGTCCAAGTCTAGTGAGGCTGAGTCTTTGGTGGTTGATGATGACAAGGAGAAATCCTCCAAGAAAAGGAAAAGATCAGAGCCTGAAGAGACAAAAGAAGAGACCGAGGAAGAGGATGTTGAGGATTCAAAACGTAGGAAGAAGGAAGAGAGTGTAGTAGAAGAAACACCTGTTAAGAAGGCTGATGTTGAGGAGAACGGTGACGTTGAGAAAAGCGAAATGAAATCAGGAAAAGGACTATCTAACTCAAAAGAGGTAAACTCACGTTTGCATCAATTTTGGTTTATCTTTTTGGATAGGTGATGAGTGTACTCATACTTCTTTTAACGTTTGATTTTACAGCCAAAGAAACCTTTTCAGAGAGTGAACGTTGAAGAAGTTGTCTTCACTGACGAGAGGCTTAAAGACAACTCTTATTGGGCAAAGGTTGTATATTATCTCCATTTCTGCCTTTGATAAGCAATCTTTGTAAAAGCAAATGGTTTTGTTGAAGTTTAGCTCTCTGTGTCTTAATAGGATGGTGCTGATGTGGGTTATGGTGCTAAAGCTCAAGAGGTTCTAGGGCAAGTCAGAGGGAGGTAAGAGAGCTCCTCATCCTTTGGACTTTGTTATATACTTTGGGGGTGTTGATTATGTTATTAGGTTTGGTTTGGTTCTGTTATTCGGGTCTGAAAATTTACATTAAAGTCAAAAACATAATATTTTCAACAACCTTGGTTAGGCATTGACAATTAGGGTTGTAATGTGTTTGTTTTGGAGTTGGGCTTTGATCACACCAACTTCGGTTTAGATTCGGCTTGTTTACTGTCTTGACGTCTGGATTTCGTTTTTTTTTGTTTGTTCAAAGGGGTTTCCGACATGAGAAGACGAAGAAGAAACGAGGAAGCTACAGAGGAGGAGAGATCGATCTTCAGTCACATTCGGTTAAGTTTGAGTACTCAGACGACGAATGATAAGCAACACTTATCTTTATCATTGTTTCCCTTTGCTTCTCTTTTTAAATTATCATCATCACCATCTTTTTCTTTTGCTTTGCTTATTCCAATATGTAAAACGATTCAGATCTTATTACCCGAAACAGGGTTCAAGTTTTGTCTGTGTCGATTGTCTCATTTGAAACTTGTAAGAACATGAATCTGTTTCAGTTTCTTGATCTCTAAATTTGTAGTTTTTTGTCACTGCACTTTGAGAGAGCAGCTAACTTGCTTCGGAAGCTGGGCTTTGGGCCTGTATATTAGTAGATTTGGGCTCAGTTTGCTATATATTATCCAAAAGGATTAATTCAAAAAGTTTCCTCTTATTAAAGCAACTTCTTTGTTTTGGTAATAGGTTTATTATCGTATCGCTAATGACTTGATTTGTGAACTGTGCTTTATTCTATACTTTCTAGTCAAATTTAGTAGAAAGTATTTGAAGGGGAAAAAAGTAAAAGAGGAATATCGTTCCTATGGACCTATTGATGGTCTCTTGCGTTTTGGTTAGGCAAAGTGTTATTTCCCTTAATATTAATCTCTTAACTAATCACTGAAAGTTTGTTACTCGAATATTTTTTCTCTTTTGAAAAAATAATGCTATAGAATATATTATATTCTGAGTCGGTTGGTTCTTTTAGTTAGCCAATACTCATAAGCATGATATTGTGAATTACATAAAAAGCATACAATGCTTGAAGTTGGTGTTTTTTTTTTTTTTGTAACGGACCACCCCTATTTTCTTCATGGTCATGCTTGAAGTAGGTAAAACACCGGATATATTCTGAAGCAAAGATTAAGGATGCTAAAAATATCGTTCGCATATATTTTTGAAAGTACTTTTAATTTTTAATGTGCACTGTACGGTTCGCAAAGCTGTATATTTGCGGGTTGATGTGTTTAGTGATATCACATCTCACCTATAATTATTTCCAGGTTATGAAATCAACTCCATCTGTTTCTTTTTTGATTAAAGTAGTATTAATGATAGCGACGTAATTAAGAATTTAAGTGTAGACACAAAAATACAAAATGATGAAGAAACATCTGTAAATAGAAAAGGTTTTTAGGACTAGAGATATTGGGTGTATAATTGTATTATATCGTAAGTTTACTGTCTAAGTATCAAACTTTATCAGTTTTGTGCATGGGTTGTTTTTCCTTAAATGAGCTTTACTTCGTATTGTAACTAATATTGATTCCCCTGCTGTTGTAGATGTTTTGTCTACGTGACTTTAATTGCTTTTTCTGTTCTTTTTAACGAAAGAATGGATATTGTCGTTGACAAGGAGAAAGACATATTGTTGACATAAAAAAAAAAAGGAGAAAGACACATTTGATTTCTTTCTCCAAAGAAAAAAAAAATACATCTGATTTGGACAGTAATTTATCTTTCAATTTTTTTTATTTAAAATAATTATGTTTTAGTTTTAAAAATAAAATTACAACAAAAAAAAAGTTAGAAAAAATATATTAGTTTTCAAAAGCAATTTTCTATCGTTTTTATTAAATGCTTTAAAATAAATTTACGAAAAAATAAAGTTAAATAAAAAAATTAACAATTTTCTAAATAGAAAACTATTATTCAAAACATGATAAAGACATTTAATTTAACGCTGCGTCTCGATTTTCTTTTTGTAATGTGAATTTTTAGTGAAATCTATATTATAATAGTAGACTTTCTAGGCTCCAATCCACGTCAGCAGTTTTGTGGGTCTCGTAGATATTTTATAAAAAAATATAGTTTTGGTAAGATGATTACAAACAATGAAATACACTTTAGCCAAGTGGTATAAAGTGTCTAATTAAGCATGCAAGATCGTGGGTTCAAACTATGCAGTCATCATTTATTTTTGATTTTCTTTTTATTTGGGTTATTATCATATGGGCTTTTTGTTTGTAAATTTTTTATGTTTTTTTATGGCTTATTATTTTAAAGATCAAAATAGTTGGATAAACCCTAAAGCTTAACGAGTTCAAACAAAAAATAATTAAAAATGGATGTAAAAACGAACAATAATAAAACAAAAAAAAAGCAAGTCTCACGCGGTTGCCTACGCGGATGGCTTAAAGAGCATTAAAACTATCCTATTATAATATAGTTCAACCCAAAATAATTAAAAATGAATCCAAAAACGAACCGACCAAAAAAAAAAGTGAATCCCACGCGGCTACCTACGTGGATGGCTTAATGAGGCTTGAATAATATAGATTAAGAGCTCAAAAAGTGAAATCATTGCACATATTTTCTAATATATATTTTCAAAAAATTTGTATGTGAGATAAAATAAAAAACAACAAAAATTAATTATTTTCGTTATTTATTTAATGAATATGTAATTTCTCTTACATTTTAATAACTACTATAACTTCATTGAAAACATTCCTCACCACCGATTTCAAAATCCGGCGAACGGATTCCCACAGTCGATGACGCCGTAAATAAAAATGCCACATCATTTATGAACAAAACTCAAACTTACAAAAAACCATATATAAAAACCTATCTAATGAACCTTAAACAACGAATGTTAACTTAATTAAGGTTATTTTCAAATTGATAAATCGTTTAATACAAATATAAATACTATAAATATATAATTATATCAAGTTTTGACCTACGATATAAAAACTATTTACAGCAAAAAAAAACACCTACTTTTACACACTAAAAACTATATTATTGCCTAACTATTCCTATAAACCTTACTTCGCATATAAATAACATTTAAGTCATTCCTAATATATTTTCAAAAAATTTGTATGTGAAATAAAATAAAATAAACAACAAAATTGAAGTATTTTTCGTTATTTATTAAATGAATATGTAATTTCTCTTAAATAAATACTATAATTTCATTGAAAACATTCCTTACCATCGACTCCAGACTTCGGCGAATAGATTCTCACAGTCGATGACGCTGTAGATAAAAATGCCACATCATTTATGAACAAAACCCAAACTTACAAAAAACCATATATAAAAACCTATCTAATGAAACTTAAACAACGAATATTAACTTAATTAAGGTTATTTTTAAATTGATAAATCGTTTAATACAAATATAAATACTATAAATATAGAATTATCAATTTTTGACATACGATATAAACACTATTTACAGCAAAAAAAAAATAGACACCTACTTTTACACACTAAAAACTATATTATAGCCTAACTGTTTCTATAAACCTTACTTCGCATATAAATAACATTTAACACATTAGATATACAATATTTTCACTTTACACTCTTACTACATTCTTTCCATTTTATTATTGTTTGGTGTCATTAGAAGAATCCACTAAACCCCTAAATCGAAAAAAATATACGTAAACATAATGATTTCGGCTCCGCGTTTGCGTGGGGAATATGCAACTAGTTCACAAAAAGATATACACAACTTTTTGTCATGCTAATGCTCTTTGCTCGAATTAAACGTTACCAAATTGGTGTTCCTCCATTAACCACGATCGTTTCATCTGAACTATTTTTGACACGTTCTCCATAACGAAGTAAATAACTCCCATAACATACAGATTTTATTCTACTTGTACGCTGTAATAATTAACACAAATCCACATAAGCACTTAAAATAATAATAATAATAATAATAATAATAATGTTCATCGTTGTCAAAAAAAAAAACTAATAAAGTTGATAAAAATGTACTTGGCTTATATATGAACTACTTGGATACATTCTCCGTGAAGAAGTAAATAACTCCCATAACATACAGATTTTATTCAACTTGTACGTTGTGATGTATCAGCTGTTACTTAGTGTAGCTGTATAATGTCAAATGACTAATTAGTTAAAACTGATTTTTTTTTTGGGTCAAATAGTTAAAACTGATTTTTTTTGGGTCAAATAGTTAAAACTGATTATGTGCTATATCTAATTAATTAACACAAATCTACATATGCACTTAAATAAAGTTAACAAAAATGTACTTGGCTTATGAAGTGAGGCTGCGAGGTTGTCTAACATTTAGGACCTTGCCTTTGTAGTTTTTGGGGTCAACATTTGTATGTTAATTTAGACTGCTTGCATGGTCTACATAGCGCAAAATGTGGTCGACCACCGAAATATATGAATAGTCCTCTCTACTCTTAGTCATGATTTTAAGTCGTCTATCCAACTGACACGTAAGTAATCGTGTTTCTCGCAATAGACACGTTATCAATAAGACATAAGAGTTGCATACGTCAGAAAGTGTTTTTTTTTTTAAAATGCTTATAGTCGTTACAAAGTAACCTTGCTGTCAGTCACGCGGCAGGACTAGAATCCCTGACTTTGTGTGTTGTTTTCCTTCTTCTGAGTTTTCTCGCCTGTCTTAGTTTCTTTTATTCCATAGTTTTGTTATTTTGTATACACACTTCAATTATTATGGTTTGTTAACCAATAATGTCGACTAATTATTTTAAATAATACGAGACATTCCATTACAAATCTAATCTACACTTTACAGGTGCTCCTAGTGGTCGTGGAGCTTTACAGAACTCTCTACGCGTATTAAAAAAGTGATATTGTAAGATCTTGTTATATATGATTATTTAATCCAAAAAACAATCCCTTAAGAATAAAAACAATTAGTTTATATGATTATTTAATCAAAAGGACAATCCTTAAGAATAAAAACAATTAGTTTATAATTTGAGAGAAATGATTCCCGATACGTGGCTTGGTGCTAGATGATGTTGAGTACGAATCGCTTCTTGTTAACGCCTCAGATATACAGACGTTTATTCGTCACTGAAATGAAATTTACTGCAAGCTTCGTTTACTTATTCGCCGTGTTTCTTAGTAGGTTGTCGCATGCGCGGACAATAAAAACGAAGACAATCAAACAAACCTATACTGTTTGAGATAAAGATCCAACTTCCAAACGATGAAATGAAAGAGACAGTACTATATAGCGCCAATTTTTTAAAAGCTAATTGGTTTTAAGTTTGAAATACATTAACTCAACATCTACCATATTAATTAATCAGTTTATTTTTCGATCGTGTCGTTAATCTTGAGATTCGAACCTGGATTATTCGAAATGTTCGTTGTATATTCAAGGGGTCGGTGCATTACGACAAAAGAGTTTCTAGTTACTTTGTAGTATTAAAGCTCGTCAAAAACGAATAGGAAGCTCCGATTTGATTAAACTAAGTTTGATTTCATGTTTTAGATAAGATCGTAGGTCTGATGTAAAACCCCATTAACGTTTAATACTAGGTACTAAAGAAGTTAAAAGATAACTTTCCCAATAGTGTTTTCTCTTTGTCGTGTTCTGCCGGTGCTCGTATAGACTG